TCCAATGACTACTACTTTTGTCGAATATATAGGTTTCTGATGCAAGGTAAGGAAAAATGGGACGCGGTGGCTGTGTCAACAAGATGGAGAAGATGCACTCCTTCATGTACATCCAATATTTTGTTCGTTTTCCTCACAATAGTATGGGAGCAACTCCAGCCACTCTAGCATTGCTCTTCCCAGCACTGCTCAATAAATACTGAGGAATACTAAATAACCGAGGAACAAAAACAGTAAGCATTCATGAAAACTTGTCCAAAACACATGAAGATTACTGGGGTTCATCAGTAGAACTTTCAAAAGGGTTACTGGAACCCTCAAGATTTTGCAAAACACATGCAGATTACACTGAAACCGAAAACTGAATTTCCTAGCTCACATGGGTTGCTGGGTTGTTGAGCTTCTTAGTTTCACATTCAGCAGAACATAAACAACATGAGCATCCAAGTTTGAAAAGGGTGACTGGCTATCTACTAGCAAACTGAAGGACAGGAGCAACCAAGCTTTAGAAAGAGGATATCTACTAATAGGAACACACAGCTCAAACACAGATTTCAGTACACATAAAGAACTGTACTTTCAGTTTGGAACAGAGTTTACTGCATGTTTTATGCCTAGGTAATACAAAACCACATGCTTGAAAAAAAATTAGAAAGTTACCAGCGAGCCCAAATTGCACGGTTCATAAGTTTTGAAAAGGATTCCTGACATCAAGGGCCCACTAGTGACATCATCCTTACGGCCTTGGCCATACGTGGTGGCAGTGCTCCGTGGTTGGGTAAAACTATATCTCTTTGTTATATCTTTCCTTTCTTTATCGTACAGTGGCATCAAATCGATGTGAATAAAGAGTATAGACCCACCAACCAATCTACTTGACACCGTCGAGATGGGCGTGCATATATACCTCGCAAACTTCAGCCAAGTAGTGGCAAGCTCGATGATGTACTACTATCTTGGTCTAGGATGAGAAAGACAAAGGAAGTAGTAGCCAGAGACATGAAATGAGAAGAGGAGGAGGATTTGAAATTAAAAATGTTAGGGAGTAGGAGGCTCCAGGAAAGAGGGCAATGGTGCTCAGTGGAGAACACGACAAGGCAACACTATTGGGAGTAGCTTGAAACCAGAAAATTGGCAGCAACGGAGAATAGGGTAATCAATGAGATGTTGAATTGCTGCAAGGAGCTGACCTCCGTTCCATCTTGAGAACGCCATTCATTCCATTAATAACAGACTATTACTCCCATATGTGACACTTTCAATCTTGCATGTCCTGGTGTGTATATTACCTCAGAATCAGGTCTTATCTCCCAAAGTATACCATGTTGTTTCTCAACCAAGTTATGTCCCACAAGACAACCACCAGGTTGTCCAGGTAGCTAACCTTCCCCATTCAACCCTCATCTCCGTCCTCTACCACACCTGTGTAAGAGTATCTCCAATAGTATACCGAAATTTCAAAGAATACACAAGAACAGAAAATATGTGTATTTAATTCCATGGGTACCCATGTGTTTTGGGTAGGTACCATATTTTGCACCCAAATACTCAAAAAGGGTATTGACACCCGGGAGAATATCTGGTGCACCGGTGCACCGAACTCAAGTCGCACATTTTAAATGTTTGAAAAATTCTAAAAAAATGTAGCATATTGATACATCATTAATGTAGATTGTCACAAAATTTCAAGTCAAAATTCGAAACACAGCTCCTAAAACAAAAATGACAAATTCAACACTAATAGTACATAACATAGGTTGGGCTTTAGATTTGGCCCATTATCACGCTGATGTAAATTTTGTCATTTTTGTATCAAAAAATATTTCAAATTTTGATACGAAATTTTGTGATGACATACATTGATGTTATGTCAATGTGCTCAATTTTTTTTCAGAATTTTTAAAATGTTGTACGGCATCCGGTGCACCGGATACGTTCCCATTGACACCCACGCTACCCATTCAACCAAAAAATGAGGCAGCAATTGCAACTACTTGATAGGGAAGTTTCACGTCAAGTCGCCACCCTCCCTCCCATGTGAAGCCTGCTGTGCTTGGCAAAATGTAGAGAGGTATTTTTTGTTTGAATATGACATTCCTTAAAGAACAAGCTCCCTCCACTGCCGCTGCTGCTGTGTTCTCTCCTGATCATCCTCATGGCCACGGTGGTCGCGTCGTGGCATCTGTCGACATCCGCGTAACCATCGAGGACGTGTTCCTCGCTGGGTACAACACCATGACGCTCAGCTCAGTCGCCACCCTGTGCATAACAGCAACCAGTTCAGCCTTGAAACTCAAAGAAAATGGAACCAAAATAGAAGCAGATTATTTAGCAGCTACTCCCTCCGTTCGCAAATACTTGTCACCAAAATGGATGTATCTAGAACTAAAATACATCTAGGTACATTCATTTCTCCGACAAGTATTTCCGAACGGAGGGAGTAGATACCACTGTAAACTAATGTAAGACGTTTTAGGTCACTAAGTAGTGACCTAAAACATCTTATATTAGTTTACAGTGGGAGCAGTATTCATCATTTTCCCATCAGAAGCCAACCAAACCATGCATATGAATGCTGGCGACATAAAAGAGAATGTTCTCTACGCACAGCTTCACTAAATAAATAATTAATCATGATGACATCAGATAGTTACTATACATGTAACTACACTGGCGTGACTGCATTGCAAACCATGCAACAACAAACAGGGCATGAGCCACTAGTAAAAGGATTGAATATCCAGAGTGTGCATTAACTACAAACAATGAAATCGGTATCAGAGGACCATAACACTCTGGAAGCTAGAGAGAGAAGATCAGTCCTCCACCAAAATCTCACCCTGAATTCCTCCGCATCTTTTTCTTTTCCAGATCTGCACACACCAAGTTTAGCGAAATGCTGGACGGATAAATTTCAGAAATAAGAATGAGGCAATCAGGTGAAACATAAATGGTTTCATTGCAAGCCTTCAACACATTAGAAACCAAAATGTACAATTTACACTTTCAGGTGAAACAATTTTATGCCCCTGGCATTATGCCTTTTTGTGTTAACGTTTGTCCTAAATAGAAAAATGCATTGCACATTCATCAACACCAATCTACTTGGAACTTGAATTTGACCTCTTTATCCGCCTTCCTAGAGTGACGAGACACCATCGTCAACACCAATGGGCAGTGGTTGTGCTATAACCATTCACGTGCATCACCAAAATCAAAACACAAATAACAGAATAATCAGTAAAGGGAAGCTACTGGACAAGCAATCTTTGCAAAACCAATCAAGGAATCTCTCACACATGTTTACGATATGTTAGCCAAAGGTAATCTATTCCGAGAAAACGGTACACTCTATAAACAGCTATATCAATCAGCCATCATCTCAAAAAAATGCAAAGGAGGATACCTACAGAATTATTACTCAAACAGCCCAGCTAAGCTTATGAAAGGTACCGCATGATGTTTCCCTTTAAATCCCATCAAGGGATTTGCCACATCTTGATCATATGAAAACAATAGATGACCTCTTCCCTGAAGAAAAACACTAACCACTGATGTATTTTAAGATAAGAAAGTGATTTGTCAACATAATTTGTTAAGCTCAGTCCCAATGTTCTCAAACATAAGAACTCATGTCACACAGTTGGGGCTGTGAGAATGGAAAATATTGACAAAATAGGTCTGGCTCCAAAGAGTCTAAACTGAAGCATATAAGCAATATACAGTATTTGCTTCTGGCAGCCAAGTATGAAGACATCAAGTTGTTGGTGAAAAGAAACAGTTAAAAAACTTTGTTGTAAGTTAACTTTCAGCTCTACTTCAAGTTAACTTGGCTCCTCGGGATTTCTATACGCTTATTATAGCTTCACAACTGACTTGGGTGTAACAAGCTTCAGAGTTCATCCATGACGTCTGAAAGATTCAGAGTTAAACTTTCAACTCTGATTCAAATTCAGAGTTCAGAGTACAAAATTTCAATCAAGCTTACTGTTTACATGCATGCATAACTAGTTCAAATTGTCCAACGGTCCAAATGAAGATCCAACATGTAGTAGCAAGAGGAAGCACAGAGCTCAATGTATGAATTCACTAAAGCACCAGATGCTGATAGTTATTCAACTAGTTATTTTGTTCAGGTTGCCTCACTCGGTTCAGTTGATTTATTGAGGTACAGAATTGTTCACTCGGTAGGCAGGCAACACACCTGAGATCTCATTTATTCCAACTTCTACAGCCTCACATCAGGAACAAACAAATGTGGCACCATCCTCACACAGTTTGGTTCTTAAACTGAGATAAATAAGACCACTTTTGACTACTTTTCTGACTTTACAGATAGAAATTTGCAAAAAGAAAAAAGGGGATGGTACATAAGACCACTATACTATTTTAACAAAATATGCTAAGGGGTAAAGAAGTTCTCATTACCTATACAGATAGTGCTAATATGGAACAAAATTAGCTAAAAGATATGGTAGAATTAACTTGGTAAGGTCATAACCCTTTTTAAGGTTACCATAACATATGTTCCCTTATTGTATGAAATACACTCTGCTTTTCAGCATCATACCGTACAAGCATCTATTTGCTTCTCCCATACAAATACCAGGGGACCTAAAATACCTACATAGTGGTATACATGTTCAAAAGTGCGGCCAAAACTGTTTCCCATGGAAAAAGAAGTCCACGATTTTCATCTAAAGGAAAGTTTTGAGGCTTCAAATCATCTTCATGGCCAAAATGGGAACATTCTTTCATGGAAAGCTAGGTTGAAGATTGCACTGAAATTGCAATGGCCATTTCACAACATAAAGATACAGAGTGTGCAGAAATACTACTAATTGATACTTCAAAGCGTTTGCAGGATGCCCTGATCTCTCACTCTCAGTCATGATATGTGTGCCAATATGACAGGATGAAGGACAAGTTGATAGCAGTACTATGCTTTCTTCTCTATTGAATGAGAAAATGAACATACCAATTTTCATGCTGGTCATGGTTCATGTAAATCTGAATCTAGCCGGCACTTCCCCTCTGCAAGCTGCTGCATAGTCTTCAGCAAGGTGCGGCGCAGCTTCCTTGTGTGGGCATACGAACTTCTCCATGAATACCTTCGGAGTCACCGCGACTGCATAATAGTAATCCCGGTCGCGATGTAGCAATCCATTTTCCTTGAGAAACTTCACAACATAGTACCGGGGCCTGAGCCGATCATGCAGGCTGTAAGTGAGAAGCGCCGGCCGATGAGCAATGTACCCTGGTTCCAACCCCACCTCGGAGATGAGGAACTCTGCGACACGTTGCAGCCTTTCCTTGCAAGACCTCAGCAGCACCGGAGCCTTGGGCAAAGCAATGCCCACCTCAGTATCCGACCACCTAAATGTCTTCTTCAGGTATTCCACCTTGGTGGCGATCTTCTCCTCGTCAAAGAATGCGACAGCCTGCACCGCTTGTCCCAACATCCCGGAGCCATGCGGCACACAGAGAGCTTTGGCACATGCCACCATCGCCCGGAGGCGCTGCTGGTTGATTTTGAGGATCCTTGGCACACGGATGCACAGCTTGGCAATGTCGCAATCCTGTAGCCCGCACTCCCGCAGGAACGCGACGTTGGGCTTGACCACCCTCTCGAGGTCAGAACCATGTAGCCAGAAGCCGCGTTTGAGCAACCGGAGCAAGTGGTCCATGGAGCCGAAGAGGGTCAGGTAGTAGTGTAGAGCGGAGACGATGGATCTGCAGCGGAATTTGCTGGGGACGAACACGGCGATGCGCGCGACCTCAGAGCGCGAGAGGCCGAGGCCGGTGAGCCCATCGACGACGGGGGCCAGGGTCCTCTCCACGCCGGCGCAGAGTAACAGCGGGTCCTTGGCGACGGCGGTGGCGACGTCGGCGGCGGAGAGGCCGATGCCGGCGAGGAAGGCGAGGACGGCGTCGGTCTTGGCGGGGGACTTGAGGTGGGAGAGCTTGGTGGAGGCCTTGATGGCCTGGGCTCGGGTCAAGCCGCAGGCGGAGACGAGGTACTCCTCGGCGCCAAATCCAGGGGTGGCGGCCGGGGAAACGGCGGAGGCGGCTGCGGCGGAGAGGAGACGGTGGAGAGGAGAGAGATGGGAGGTGTAGGGAGAAGAGAGGAGCTGGGTGAGGGTGCAGCTTCGGAGCCGGAGCATGGCAGCGGCGGCGGCGGGATGGCCGGTGGCGACGCGGCGTGGTTGGTGGTGAGAGACGGAGTGGGTTTGTGGCTGGACTCGTGCGTCGTGTCTCTCACCTCACATGCCATCTGATAATGGGCTTGGATGGGCTGGCTGGGCTGGGCTGGAGAATCTCAAAAACACATTGTAATCTCAAAAATAATCAAGGCAATTTCTCACAAAGTAATAATAATCAAGGCATCCCTAGAAAAAAAAAAGGCAAACCCGCTTGCAAACATGAGCCATCTCAAAAACGAAACCTAAAAAAAATCTAAAACAAACATGAGCACCGTATCTGAACATGTTCATCGAGTGGAGTAATGTCGATCAATTTTTGGCCGAGTCACGCAAAATGATCACAAAACATGGAGATACTTAATTGCTTACTATTATGTGCCCGGCGTACATTTTCATGTGCAATGATTTTGAAGCGCCGCTCTTTATTTGGATCCTCCATCATGTTTTTATATTACATTTTTCAGGCAAATTTAGCTTAACTGGATTTGGCGGAAGAGTATTGTATGTTATATATTTTTGTATGTTATATATTTGGTATTTTGAATTATGATATTTTTCTATAAATATGGTAAACATTTACAAAGTTTGACTTTTAACCAAATTTTGTATGCACTATAATTTGGCGAGTGAGTAGTATTTTTTTTTCATTTGTCCCTCATATTTCAAAAGCAATCAAGGTTTACTAGCTTCTAGAACTACCAACTGTTGATTTCGAGCAGTAGGCACCTCAACTAATTCCTTGTGTGCTTGAGATATCTCTAAGCTAGAATATTTCCTTATTTTCTGCCACAACTTTTGAGTCGTGTATCAGGCAAGGTTTGTAATAAAAACAACATCTATATTAGCTATTTATAGGATTGTTAATTATTCAAGCAATATTTGTGCATAGTGTTTACTGACCATCGGAACAGTATGAGTAAATACAAGGTAATCCAGTTTATGAAAATTGGAAGGGATTCGTATTCCAGTTGTAGCCAGAGTTGGTGGGTCTAGGTTGAAAAATTGACCGGTAGAGAGGTGATGGTAGACGGTGTTTATAGGTTCGGTCCTTTTGATCTAGGACTTCCTTCCACGGCGATGGTTGCTACATAGACACGTTGGTCCTATGGGGTCTTAGCACGACGACTTTTCGACTGTCTATTACAATAAGATTTGTCCGGCTCCTATGAGGGATGGGCGATGACGACAACGCGCTTTCGGCTTGCTCCAATGCTTGTCGTTGTCGCTAAGTGGTCCATGCACATGGTTGTAATTTTTATTACCTCTGTTATATTTTTACTGCCATGATTGAAGATGGATAGATTGAAAATTTCTTGCAAAAAAAAATGGTAGTCCGGGTTGAGTCGAGGATTCACCTCCCCCCCCACACACACACACATATTATACACGGCGTAACATGGAAGAATTATAGACCAGGTCTCTAAGGGAAGGTTTACAACATGGACACAAATTTAGAAAGAAGAGTGATAGATGGACATACATTGATTTTTTTTTCCTTTTGACATGAGGTTTATCTTCATATATATGCTTATCGCAGATCATTTGGCTTTTAACAATTTAGATACATGTAGTTATAAAAGCAATGGACATGATCTGCATTCGATATCCAAAATGGCACATAAAGAATGGATGGAATTAGTAAGATCAAGATCCTAATCAGTGGCACTTGTATATAAAATGCAACGCACACAACAAAAGTTGTTGAGATCATGACCCTAATGAGTAACACTTACATATAAAATGGAACAAAACTAAAGTTACCGAGACCATGGTCCTAATGAGTGGCACTTTCATATAAAACTAAGCACAACAAAAGTTAATCCTACACACAACTGACTTTGCACTACATGTGTTGCCATGTCAATGTTCATAGCCGATGGGAGCATGACCAACTGCCAAGTGAAAATCTTTGGTCTTCAAGCAAGGGCAAAGACGCCGGCCACAACAGCTTGGCGTGAGGTTAGCCAGTCCTCCCCAGACTAGCTTGTCGTACATGGATCGCACATAGAAATGGCCCGAGTCGTCGAGATCCCATGGGAAAACGTTTGGGGCATCAAGGGCGAAACAGAAGCTTAGCTCAAGAAGCAACGCGTCCCAGCGAGCAACGGGGCAAGTGCTGACATTGCCTCCACCTAAAACCAAGTGGACTGTTCATAGTTTAGCTACATGTAGATAGAAAAAGAAAGGGACAGGATCTACATTGGATATCCAAAACGGCACATAAAGATTGGATGTAGAACCGGCACTAAAGGGTGAGGACTAAAGGTCCCTTATTTAGTCCTGGTTCAACACGAACCGGGACCAAAGGCCCACCACGTGGCACGAGGCGCGTCATGGTCTGGGGGACTTTTTTTTAAAATAAAGGAAAAAAGCCCGCCTACTGGGCCGGCACGGCCTACATACGACTAGAAACCCAACCTCTAGTTGGGCCAGGATGCAGGCCCGTACGGCCCAGTAGGCCCTAAGGGCAGAAGACTTGCAAATAAGCCCACAAAGGCCTGCTTAGAGTGGAGCTCGACACGGTAGCCGCGGCAGGGCTTATAAACCGGTGCGAGCTCCTCTCAACTAGCGAGATGGGACTAAACATTGTGCACTGCGGGTGGCAGCACACCACCTTTAGTACCAGTTGGTGGCTCTAACCGGTACTAAAGGGGGGTCTTTAGTACCGATTGGTGGCTCCAACCGGTACTAAAGGGGGGTCTTTAGTACCGGTTGGAGCCACCAACCGGTACTATAAGTCACAAATGAACCGGGACTAATGGTACCATTAGTGCCGGTTCATTTACAAACCGGGAATAATATGTCTCACGTAAAGTAGTTTTTCTACTAGTGCATATGGATTTGGTATTATATATGTACATACCTTTTTCTACTTATTAATTAGTCAAAATTGATAAATATGAACTTCCCAATAAAAATTATAGACACTACATTATAGAACGGGGCAGTATGATTGATGTGATGCCTCCCGTGTCGGGATCGGGTGAGGCGGGTCACCCAACGATGCCGAGGCGCTTCTCCTGGATCTGGGTCGCGATGGCGCGGGAGATCACCTTCGGCAACAGCGCAAGGGGCGGCGGATCATCTTCGGCAACAGCGCAAGGGGCGGCGTGGTGGTGGGCGAAGGCAGCGCTGCATGGCGATGTGGAAGAGCAGTGGTGCTTGCCGATTGAGGAGTCCGCACGGTCATGGCTGCAGTGGCTAGCGGCTCAATCACTACTGGAATCAGCTTCTTTGCCGTCCGCTGGGTCTTTGCCGTCAGCTTGCCGTCCGCTTCCACAAAGCGGACGGCAAAGAAAGGGCAGATGGCAAAAATGCTATTTGCCGTCAGTTGCTTCTTTGCCGTCGGCCAGCTAATGGCAAAGAGCTATAAGGTAGACGGCAAAGAGCCAGGAGGGCCTCATAGGGCACGGCGTGGCTAGGTCAGATTCTTTGCCGTTCGCTAGCGGACGACAAAAAAGGTGATTACTTTGTCGTCTGCTGGCGGACGGCAGAAGAGGTGATTACTTTGCCGTCTGCTGGTGGATGGCAATGTTAGTCCTTTGCCGTCTGCTTGCGGACGGCAAAGAGGAGACGTGGGCCAGCCCTAACGGTGGCCCTCGTTGCCGTCTGCTAACGGACGGCAAAGAAGGCCCACTTAATGGGCTGAGCCGTCTCCCCCCTCTCTCTCTTTCTCTCTCTCCCTCCCTCCCGTGCGCCCGCCTCTCTCCTCTGTCGCCGCCGCCGGCCATCCCCGCCCCGTCGCCCCGCCGCACCCCGTCGCCTCGCCGCCCGCTGGGCCCCGTCGCCCCGCCACGCCCCGTCACCGGAGTGGCCTGCGCCGGGCCGCCCCGGTGCCGGACCCCTCCCAGAGGTCCCTGCGCCGCCCCGCCCCGACGCCGTCCTCCTCCCCGCGGCCCCTGCGCCGCCCTGCCCAACCGGTCGACCTCGCCGGAGCAAGAGGTAATTTTTTCTGTTTTTTTCTTTTTTTTGTTCTCTATTTTCTTGATTTGTTTTAGGTTAGTGCTAGGTTTAATTAGGTGTAGTTTTGAGTTTTTAGGTTTAGGTGTAGTTTTGAGTTTTTAGGTTTAGGTTAGTGCTCGGTTTAAGAAGAGGAAAAAGGAGGAGAAGAAGAAGAAGAATACTTGCTATGTTACTCATCTTTCGATTTAAATATGCAGGTATTTCGTCGCTGCAAGGGTCTAGTGTTCGACGAGCTCCGCCCCTGCGTTCGTTGGTGAGCACAAATGACATCTCCTCCTCCTCCCCCCCTTCATTTGCTTTGTTTCGGTCTTCGTGCCGATGAAACTTGCTAGCTATAGGTGTCAATCATCAGTATGCGTAACCACTATGCGTCTCCCGTTCGAAAGGGTTACATCTATAAATATGCATGCATTTGCATATTTATAATCATGATTCTTTCGAATTGTCCAACATTATCCATGGACAGCCTGAGTATCTGTAGATTGGGTTCGTTTTCCCATATGCGCAGCTCCGGATCCGATGCAGAATTTCGTCAGTGCCTCCCTGTTGTTCTCCGGGTACACATTCTCTCTGCTTATTGCCGAGATGTGTATCAAGAGAACAGAGGGGAGGTGCTGCCGAAATTTTGCGTCGGATCCGGAGCAGAGCATGGGAAAACGAACCCGATCTACACATACTCGGGTGGGATAGGACCTATCTTTACCTATTAGCGTGTAGGTTGCATGGACGTCATAAAACTAACAAACTCCATTAATTGATGGATGTGGTTTGCTTAATTATGTATATATTTCTTGTGTGTCCAGTAGGAAGTCAATATGAGTGATCGTGCATGGATGTACACCGGTTACACTAGTCAAAAAGTTTGGACCGAGGAATGGTTAACAAAAACCAAGGGGTTTGTTAGAGCCGCATTTGCAAATGGCCAGGAATTTAGCTGGTGCCCCTGTGCCCGTTGCGACAACTATAAAAAGAGGGACGAACTTGAAATGAGTAAAGAC